GATGCTTGAATTTGAAGTGACTGTTGACTAAGGTTGAGAATTTTGCAAATACTCTATTCTTGTTAATGATTAGAATCATGTAAGTAAAGGCAAGCAAATTAGATTTTAGTTGACTATGGATGCGTTTCGTGTGATGCGACCAGAGAATCACGATTAGCTATTTAAAATACGAACATTTATGCTTCTGGGCAAGTATCATCAGATTCATTCTTCTCTTCAGCCGTCTTTTTCAGGATACTTAAAGCATAGCAACATTGTTGATAGATTTGGCTTGAATGTAGCCAAAGGAGGGTAAGAAAATCTTACGACGATAAAATTGCTTGTTAAGAGAGCGTAAGTTGGTGTCTGCATGAATAAGTCGGCATTTCAAGGAAAATGTTTCGTGCATGATGAAAGACTAAGTGATTAGTCATCCTCCACAAAGATAATGCTTCTTAATCCTATTCGTCGAACATTTAGCTTAGCAAAGACATTTAACATCACGGTTGCATCTCGATAAACGCCATTTCGACATGGTGATTAAAGCAATTCGACCACCATCTGCACAATCGTCAAACTTTACGAAATTGACGTCATTTACGAGGACAATGTTCGACTTGTGCTAAGATTACTTATCCTCTTTCTTCACCACGCGTGACGAGTCTCAACATTTTGCATTGAATGACATGCTCAGCCGAAATGACCTTATTCCCGTAGGAGAAGGAGATGAAGATTTCAAAAGTTTAACGTCTAGAAGTTCATAAAGTTTCGTATCTCTAACGATATCATCTTGGGATTTGAAGATAGAAGAAAAAATAGAGTTGCGAAGTGCTAAGGCTTTCTGAGGCTTTCTCTATATTATAGGAGACCCTTGCAGTGATATGTGACATGAAAACTATATTCTGCTCGCCGTGAAGGGGATTATAAATTCTCTCCTATAAATTGGATTTTCGAAAAAAAAAGAGGATGAATCACAAAGGGAACGAATTAGCCAAGGGAAATGAAAAAAGTTTGAATTTATGGTTGGAGAAAATGTATAGGGAAAATTTGCATTTTTTGAAATTTTTTATTAGAAGTTATGTAGTCGATGACTTTGAAAATACTTATAATTTATGGTAGATGTAGAAAGTAGCTTTGAAGAAAATAGTTTCCCTAAAAAAATTTCTGTTAGGTGGCACAGTTGATGGCTGGTAGTTCCAAGAGTGTGCAACTTATTTTAGTAGCGCGAGTTGATTTAAAGAAAATAGAAGATTTTCGAGGAGTCACCCCCGCCATGTTTGCAGTCCAGCAGAAACCTGACGTTAGTTTATATAGGAGATGAATGAGTTAGCTGGGCGATGACGACGTTTTCCGAGGGCGTGGTCGAGGGTGATCAGTCATGTCGTTGTAGCTGGTCTGTACATAAGAGGGAACTTGATAGATCTGGGTGGGGGTGAGAGTATGAGTAATCGGGGGCCCATTAGCAGCCAAGCACTTACTGCAGCTTTATCGCATTGCAGACTGTAGAAGAATCATCGCTTTGCTAGGTGCTCATCTTCAACATCGCCGTCGTTATCGTGATGAACAGGTTCACGACGAAGCTCTCCAAAACTATGAA